TCTAGGAAACCTGGGGCTGGGTAAGTCTGAGGCCATGAGTGCTAGTGTAGAGGCTGAGTTGGCAGGGACCAGCATGGCTCAGGGAAAATGGGTCTTTGGGTGCTGTGACTCCTAGGACTGGCCTGGCTACACTTCTTATATAAGAGTCACTATGGTGTTTTGATTGTTTGACGGGGCCTGACTTAGATGGAAACTGACATCTTAACTGGCGAGTCCCTTAGTTTTAAAGAAAACTACAAATAATGACAGCTGAAATATTTTGCTGAATTGAAGTTCCATTACTCTTTAATTTGCGTTTCTCTGTCTCAGCAAGAAATGTTATTTCAAGAGTTTAGGTGATTTTGTAATTAAGTCATTGCCGAAGTGGGTGATCCTAATAGATACTATATTTGTGGTGTGGATATTCTCATTTCTCCAATTTCTTAATCTACCCGAAATGGCCATCTGAGGGAGGGCCAGAGAGATAGTACAGGGATTAAGGTGTTTGCCTTGCATGCTGCTGACCTTGGTTTGATCCCTGGCAGTGTATGATCCCCCAACCACCACAAGGTGTCATCCTGAGCATAGAGCCAGGAAAAAACCTTGAGCACCACCAGGTTGACCTAAAAATAATTAAATACACAAACAAAATGACCTGTGCTTAGTTTATCTTTTTCATCCTCTGCCTTCCCTTGCCGACTCAAGTACTCTAGTCTAATTCTTTCTGAACCTTCTCTGACTCTTAGAATCATTAGGATTCTCTATACATTGGGAACTTCTTTTTGTCTTAGTTGATGGTGATTATGATTCTATCTGCCAAGATTTCTTTGGTCAGCTATTCAATTTTTATATGAATGCTTTGTTTATATATTGTTCATATCCAAACATTATTAAAATAATTTAGTAAATGGATCTAACAAGAACCATGAATTTGTGAATCTACACTGGCCAAATAACAGAGAGACACAATGCATATTTTTTTCTAGTTCCAGAATTTTTTAAAAAAGGTTTTGGAAAAGAGATCTACAAATTCTTTTTTTCCCCTGGCTTTGAGACTATTATTCCTATTTGGTAATACTCTTCAAGTATTAAATTTTGTTTTACTGAAGATCAAGCATTATAAAATTTTCTCTTTTTTTCAAAGAAAAAAATTGAGTAATGTTCAGTAAATTATTCAGTAGTAATATTCTACTTTAAATGTAGAATTTAGGTAGCCTTATTTCTGTCTGTAGGAGATTAAATGTCTTCAGCTGGGGGAAAGGGAGGAGAGAAATTCGTGGTATTTGTATTATAGAAAAGCAGTAATAATTCAATAGAATTTTATTTTTTAAATGTCAGTCCTTAGTTTTCTTGTAGTTCTCCATGGAAAGTTTCTGTACCCACATTGACACTACTGCCACTGTGGTTAGAAAAGCTAAGATTCCATCCCCAATGTTTTCACATGTACTGTTCCTACAGAATAGTTTTTATTTCCTAGGCTTTGTGTTTCTGGCACCAAATGACATAAAATTCATAGAAAAGAAAATTTTAAGATATAAGGAATCTGGGGATATGGTGCCACCAGCAGGTCAATCTGTCCCTGTGAGGTGAGTGTATCAGCAGCCTGATGGCAACGTCAGACTTTCAGATACCCCAAAATTGCTGCTGTGCCTTTGGCCAGACCCCAAAAACTTGGCAAAGTTTACCAAGAAAGTAAACGGCCAAAAGTTAGGTATGTGGGAGACACACCCACAAACCACCTCCGGCTCAGCTATATAATTGGAGGCATGGCCTCTCTGGTTCCTGATTGAACTGCTTAATGGCCATGATCCCAGAGATTCAGAAACAAATCTCGGAACCCAAAGGCTTTTGGCAGAAATGCATCCTGTTCCTGCAGTAGGTTACTGGCGCTGGGCCAATCCAGGTGGAAATAGGTTTTGTGCCTTGGCCTGTTCCCCCTGGCGGCCTGGTGACCGCCATCCTCCAGAGGCCACTGGACAGTCCGGTTTGGGCCTGCAGTGACGAGACACACTGGGCTTCACCACATGGGGGTGAAGCCGATGCTTTCTCCCCATCCCAATGAGACCCCGAGTTGCCACCTACAAACGGCCTCTCTGGCTCCTGATCAAGCTGATTAATAGCCATGATATTGGAGACTCAGAAACAAATCTTGAAACCCAGTGGCTTTTGGCAGAAATGCGTCTGGACTGCATACAAGGTGGCTGCTGGCTAAGAGCTTATTGGAAAGCCAGGTATGAGCCAGTGGTGACGGGGCAACTGTAGTCTCATGGGAAGGGGGGCGGTACTGGCTCGTCCTTCACGCCCTACAGAGGTCACGCGTTGCCCCCCACAAGCGGCTCTCTGGCACGGCCATGACTCCAGAGGCAAAAGGACTTAATCCAGAGCCCAGAAGCTTGCGGCAAAAAAGTGAATGAACCATGCATTAAACTACAGTGCCAAGCCTCCCCAGGAGGGAACTGGAGTTGCTCCCTTCCGCCTTTTCCCCCACTGGCAGCAATGTAGCTGCCACCTCAGAGTTTATTGGAAAGCCAGGTATTAGCCCACGGTGATGGGGCAACTGCAGTCTCATGGGAAGGGGGGCGGTACCGGCACACCCTTCACGCCCTACCGAGGTCACGAGTTACCCCCCAACGAGCGGCTCTCCGGCACGGCCATAACACCAGACACACAGAAACCAATCTTGTAATTATCTGGCTCTTTGCAGAAATCCAAAATCGTGGCTGTGTGACATTATATGATTCTTATAACCAGCTATAGAAAACAAAATATTTCACAGTGCCTTTTCAGCAATTCTGATTGTTTGCGGGGAAATTCTAAACAATAATGGTGCATCTTTTGTCGAAATAATGAATGTAATCAATGTAAAGAAGAGTTAAGTAGAAACCATCTGCCTCACAGGCATTTGGAGGGGTGGGAGGGGGGGTATACTGGGGTTCTTGGTGGTGAAAAATGAGTACTGGTGAAGGGAAAGGTGTTTGATCATTGTATGACCAAGACTTAAACCTGAAAGTTTGGTAACTTTTCCCACAGTAATTCAATAAATAAATATAAAAATACAAAAAGAAATAAAAAAATTAAGGTGGAGTTCATGTCCAATTCAATCAGCTAATCAGTGGCTGAATAAATAGCAGTACTCCTACAAAAATAAAAAGATATAAGGAATCACCCAGCCATTCTTCACAGGCTCAGATGAGTATCATCCATGAGTGACTCTGCTGAAAAACCCAGGTATGCAGGACTTGTGACTGAAATCTCCAGGCTCACATGGAGTTGGGAATGGGTGTCTCCACCCCACCCACCCCCCGCATATCTCTGTGCTTCCAGTAGCTTGGCAGTTATGCCCAGGAATTTTCTCTGGTGCGACATAAGCTTATTAATGTCTATGATCCAGAGACTCCGAAATAAAAGGCTCAACTTTTAACAGCATGTTAGTAATCTTGTATACAAGGGCTTAATGACTCCAGGGTGAAATACAACAATCTTCACATACTTTCCTCTAAGGAAAAATTTCTGGAGCGATAGCACAGCGTTAGGGCGTTTTCTTTGCACGCAGCCAGCATGGCCTACCCGAGTTCGATTCCTCCGCCCCTCTCGGAGAGCCCGGCAAGCTACCGAGAGTATCTCGCCCGCACGGCAGAGCTTGGCAAGCTCCCCGTGACGTATTCGATATGCCAAACACAGTAACAACAAAGTCTCCAATGGAGACGTTACTGGGCCCACTCGAGCAAATCGATGATCAACGGGAGGGCCTTTACTTTACTTTACTTTACTTTACTTTACTTTACTTTACTTTACTTTACTTTCAGTGGATTATTCATAACAAGCAATACAAAATAAATTATTTAGGTCCTGCTTTGGGGGCAGGATTTGGAGATCAGGGTGGAAACATTCGAAATACGGTGGTGGGATTGGTGTTGAAATATTAAATGTAACAAATTATTGTGAATAACTTCACTGTCACTATCACTGTCCTCCCGTTGTTCATCAGTTTGCTCGAGCGGGCCCAGTAACGTCTCCATTGTGACACTTGTTACTGTGTTTGTATATCAAATACATCATGGTAGCTTGTTAGGCTTTGCCATGCGGGCAAGATACTCTCCGTAGTTTGCCGGACTCTCCAAGAGGGGTGGAAGAATCGAACCTGGGTTGGCCAGGTCGGCCGTGTGCAAGGGAGATGCCCTACCTGCAGTGCTATCGCTCCAACATGCGAACAACTTCATAAGAATAAAATTAAACTTAAGATATAAGAAATCACTGTGGTGATTTTTTTTTAATAGAAGCATAGCACTTGGAACCTTAATGCTGAAGAGTCTGCCAGATATAAATGTGATACTATGCTATATAAGTTAATCCTTGTGTTGTAGTAATTAAAACCTAATAAAGGTGAGAATGTTTGCTAATTTCTGTCATGCTACCCCGCATAACAGAGCACTGCATACAGGATTCAGAAGAATATTTTCTTAAAATTCATGAGATAAGGAAATGTGTAGAATTTGTTAGGGTAGAACATAAAAAGCATAAATACATAGGGAAAATATTCTAACTGGTAAAATCTGTAATTGCTCAGAGAGGCAAAGAATGCTTCACTCGGGAGGTAAAGAATTAACCAGATTGGTCAGAGTAGTGGATTTATTGAGTAGACAGTTGAAGGCATAAGTTAAATCGGAGGTTCTCAGGCTTATTTTACCTACTTTTCCCTTTTTAGATATATATTTGCTCGAGCGGGCCCAGTAACGTCTCCATTGGAGACTTTGTTGTTACTGTGTCTGGCATATCGAATACTCTCGGTAGCTTGCTGGGCTCTCCGAGAGGGGCGGAGGAATCGAACTCAGGTCGGCCATGTTGGCCCGCTTGTAAAGCAAACGCCCTACCGCTGTGCTATCAATAACTTCTTTATTGTCTCTGTGTTTCAGAAGCCTTTTTATTAATGTTACTTGAAAACTCTATGATTAGTAATCATTTCATGTTTTTTTTTCATAATGAAAGGTTATCCTAACCATCCTTTTATTCACTTCTTTAAGGACTTTCTTCAGGAGATGCCACTCATTTAATGCAAGAAAATGCACTAAGTGCAGCCACACTTGCTCTTTCTGAAGAGTCTGCTGAAGTCAATGCTAATGATCCGCCTGAAGCTCCAGAGCCAGCTCTGCAAACTCTGTTCTCACTTATAAGAGGTGAAGTTGAGCAGTTGGATTCAAGAGCACTTCCCCTTTGTCTTCATCAGGTACTACATTAAGCTGCTCGCTCTTAGCCTCACCAAAACTATGGTATCGGTAATAATATTCTAAAATGGAATTCTGTGTATTTGATCCTACTACACCTGTCAGGGTGAGCTCAGAAAACCTGGATTACTGACTGATGGGAAATTTGGTGTATTACTGACTGGTGGTCACGCATTGAGTTTGAATAATCTTTCTGTAGTTGAAATAACAATTACTTTTAGTGAATAAATTTTATACAACTAAGGGTCAATGTAGTAAGCACCAACTAGGTGCCCTAAACTATGTTAGATTCTGTGGAAACAAAGACTGCCTTAAGTATGTCCTTAAGACAGTCTCTCTGGGTTAGGAGAAGCAGTTTTGTAGATAATTATAGAATTCTGTATGAAGTGTTTGAGTAGATATACATTTAAGATTTGGCAGAGGTACAAAAACTTATGTTTAGCTTTATTCTCTTGGCATTAGTGATTAAAAAAAAAGGATGACCAGTTAGCTGGGTTTTATAAGATATGTAGGTATTCCTGGGATCAGAAGTTTCCAGGTTCCAAACTGCCCCTTTTCAGGAAAAAAAAATTGCTCAGTATCCCTTACCTCCTGGAAATCTACTTTTTTTTTTTTTTTTTGCTTTTTGGGTTACACCTGGTGATGCTCAGGGGTCATTCCTGACTCTGCACTCAAGAATCACTTCTGGAGGTCCTCAGGGGACCATATGGGATGCTGGGAATCAAACCCGGGTCAACGGTGTGCAAGACAAACGCCCTACCCGCTGTGCTATTGCTCCAGCCCCAAATCTACCTTCTTTAAGCAAATAAAAACTTCCCCACAGTTGTACTGTCACATTCCCAATGTATGGTTCAACCCCCCTGCCCCTTTTAGGGGAGTAGAGTAGAATGGCCCACTTTGGGAAGCTTGGCAGTAAGTGAACAAAGTGCACTGGTCCCAGAATAGAGATCAACCTGCACAAAGGCATCTCTGACCTATTGTTGGAGGGTAAAATGGAAGAGAGAAAGAAAGAAACCAATATTGAAGAGCTGATGACATTAAGGTCTTTTAGGGACAAATTTTTTTTTGCTCTTTGGGTCCACCCGGCGATGCACAGGGGTTACTCCTGGCCCTGCACTCAGGAATTACTCCTGGCGGTGCTCAGGGGACCATATGAGATGCTGGGAATCAAACCTGGGTCGGCCGCATGCAAGGCAAATGACCTACCCACTGTGCTATTGCTCCAGCCCCGGGATGAAAATTTTTAATGCTGGGTGCAACAGAATCAAATATGAATTTTGGAAAAATAACTCAGGATGATTGGGAGGATGAATTAGAAGATGAGGAACTTGGAGAGGGACTGGGAAGTCGTGAGGACAGAGATGAGGAAGCATTTTTACACAGAACTAATTTCTAAAACACAGATTTTTGAACTCTGTTTTATTTTTTCTTAAAATGAAAATAATTGTTTCATTTTAACTTGCAATAAACAGTAATGTCAAAATAAATATTGGAGGCTGGAGAGATAGTGAAGAGTGTAAGGCACTTATCTTGCATGCTGCTGACCTGGGTTCAATCCCGGGGATCCCTTATGGTCCCCTGAGCCCCACTAGGAATGATCCCTGAGCATAGAGCCCTTAGCACTGCTGGGTGTGGCCCCATCACTCCCCCCCTCAATATCTTTAGTAAAATAGTTTTTATCCCAAGGGGAGGAATGTTGATTTTTTTTTGAAATTGATATTATTTTTTTTAAATGGGCTTCAAGTATTCCTTTGAGAAAATCTGTACTACTTTTTGACCACGGAAGTGTCACATGTCACTGTCACTGTCACTGCCCTCCCGGTGTTCATCGATTTACTCGAACTGGCCCAGTAACGTCTCCACTGTGACACTTGTTACTGTGTTTGGCATATCGAATACGTCACGGGTAGCTTGCCAGGAGTTCGATTCCTCCACCCCTCTCAGAGAGCCCAGCAAACTACCAAGAGTATCTTGCCCACATGGCACTAACATGTCACTATTGAGAAACACTAACACCAAAGAATCTTTCTGCCTTCCTGGCATTTGTATAGTGCATTGAGTTTGCAAAGGGATTAACATTTCGTTAATTTCATCCTCCCAAACAACCTAGAGCCTCCTAGTACCACACATGGTCCCCTGAGTACTGCCAGGAGTGATCCCTGAGTGAGTCAGGAGTAAGTCCTGAGCACTCATGGGTGTGGATCTAAAATCAAAAATAAATAAAAGAATAAATAAAATTTAAAAAATCAAATTCCTTATTATCCTGGGTATAGAGTGTGTTCATTCTCTTCAGTGCATCTGCTTTTGGAGCACACTGGGAGAAATTTAGGTAAGGGCTGCATGTAAAATTTTATTTTTTCATCAATTTATAATTTCTTGAGGTTGATTTTTTAAATTTTTAATGTTTCATTTCAGTAGAGTAGTAGGTTATATGGGAAAGTATTTTCATTATCGGAAGACACATACACATGCATTTAGAGATGATATTCCATTCCCATTCTCCAGGAACATATTTGCTGAAACCTATAGGATTTACTTTTTAAAGAATTCAGCAGAATGTTCTCCCCTAGGAAGGGGAACTCGAAAAATATAGTGGTAGTTTAAAAGGATGGATTTTTAGCTTATGAGTTTAAATTTCTTCAACAGAGTTATAGAAAAATAATTGAAATAATGTGCTTGCAAGCACTCAATATAGGGCTTGCTATAAAGTGAAAGTCAAATATTAAGCAATTAAGCATTTTGTTTTACTTTAGGTTCACAACCAATGGTGCGCAGGACTTTCTCCTAGCTCTATGCTCAGAGGACTGGTTTGTTATGGTGCTTTAACTCTTATAGTGTCTCTTTAGCTAAATATTAGGCATTTTTACTTATATTCACTATCACTAACTCAAAGATTCCTTGCTAGGAATCAGCAGAGATACCAAAACCGGCAGCAAACTGAGGTATCAGGTCAAGAGAGTCCATTAATAGCCACCATTCTTAGCCCACAATAGAAATAACCTGCCCCCTCCCAGGGAGACAGAAATCAGAGAGAAATGACAGTATTTGCCAGCGCCTCACACTGTACCTGAATTTACCAGTTATTGAAATTTGCCATATTCTTGCTTTCTCTACCACACACATATTTTTTACAGAAACATTGCAAAGTAATTTGGAGGCTTTAAGAGCCAGAGCCTTGCATGTAATGACCTCGGTTTGATCTCTGGCACAGAATATGGCCCCCTGAGAACCACAAGGATTGAGCCATGAGCACAGAATCAGGAGTCAGCCACGGAAATAGTCAGGTATGGCCCCAAAACCAGACAAACAAGCAAAAAATTTGTTTTTAGGCTTTATATCACATCACCACATCACTGAGGCCTGTATTAAGAACTAGCATATTCTTCTGTACAACTTACAGTGCTATATCAGTCCCAGTAAGCTTAGGCATTAATATAATATTATTATTTCACTGACAATCTATAGTTTATTTCTCTCAAGCTTTTTTTTTCTGTTTTATTAGGGTTTTTTTTTTTTATAATTGGATCACTATGAGATACACAGTTACAAAGTTGTTCATGATTGGGTTTCAGACATATAGTGTTTCAATACCCATCCCTTCACCAGTGTACATTTCCCATCACTAATGTCCCCATTTTCCCCTACTCTAACATACCTCCATAATAGCCACTTTTCTTCTTTCTCTCTCTCTCGTTCCTTCTGGGAATTATGGTTTGCAATATAGGTTTGAGAGGTTATCATGTATATCCATTTGCCTCCTTTCAGTATTCCATTGTCATCCAGAGTGATCATTTCCAACTATCATTGTCATTGTGGTTATTCTCTATCCTAACTGCCCTCCCTATGCCCTTCCACTTGTGACAATCTTCCATTGATAGACCAGTCTCCTGGCCTTTGTTTCTATTGTCCATGGGTATTAGTCTCATATGTTTTTTTATATCCCACAGATGAGTGCAAAAATCCCATTTGAGTGCAATCATCCCATTTCTGTCTCTCTCCTTTTGTCTCATTTCACTCAGTATCATGGATGAACATGATACTCTCCATGTCCATCCATTTATAAACAAATTTCATGACTTCATTTTTTCTTAACAGCTGCATAGTATTCCATTGTGTAGATATACCACAGTTTCTTTATCCAGTCATCTGTTCTCAGGCACTCAGATTGTTTCCAAATTCTGGCTATTGTGAGTAGTGCTGCATGTGTTTTTGGGCCCCCAAGGTATATTCCCAGAAACAGTATTGCTGGGCCATATGGGAGTTCAATTTCTGGCTTTTTGAGAAATATTCATATTGTTTTCCAAGAAGGCTGGACCAGTTGGCATTCCCACTGACAATGAATGAGGGTTCCTTTCTCCCTGCATCCATGCCAGCACTGATTGTTTTTGTTCTTTTTGATGTGTGCAAACTCTGTGGTGTGAGATGATCTCTTATTGTTGTTTTGATTTGTATCTCTGTGATAATTAGTGATGTAGAGAATTTTTTTATGTGCCTTTTGGCCATTGGTATTTCTTCTTTGAGGAAGTTCCTGTTCACTTAGTCTTTCCTTTTTTTTACTGGGGTAGGATGTCTTTTTCTTTACATTTCTACCAGTGCCTTATATATATACATTTTTTTTTATATTAACCCCTTATCAGATGGGTATTGGGTAAATAATTTTTCCCATTTTGTGGGCTTTTTCTGTATCTTGGTCACCTTGTCTTTTGAGGTGCAAAAGCTTCTTAATTTAGTAGTCCCATTTCTAATATTCGCTTCCACTTGCTTTGTCAGTGGTATTTCATCTTTGAAGATGCCTTTAGCTTCAGTGTCTTAGAGGGTTCTGCCTACATTTTCCTCCATGTGCTCTATGTCTGACATTGAGGTCTTTAATCCGTTTTGATCCGACTTTTGTGCCTGGCATTAGAAAGGGAATAGCTAAAGGCATCTTCAAAGATGAGTTTTTTTTTTTTTTGCATGTAGCTTCCCCGTTTTCCCAATACTGCTTGTTGAAGAGGCTTTCCTT